AAGTGTCAAGTGTCTGAGGCTGGATTTGAACTCAGGTCCTCCTGACTCCAAAGCTAGTGCTCTATCCACTGCACCACCTAGCTGCCCCTTTGGAACAGCCCTTTCAAGCTCCCAGATCAGTTACATCTCTCTAACAATGCAACACACAGCTGTTTCGCCTTCAGTAAACCCACATCTCTATTACATGTGGGTTGGGAGGGTGAGCCCAGAGTCTGGCTACCCATGGATTTAGATCCACCAAAAAGTCTGATGCCTGAATCTCCACTGGCCCCCCTGACTCTTGGGCATCCTTTTCATTCATTTCTTCTTGGCCCTTTGTGGCATTCCTCACAGCAGATGCTACCGACCTTGCACTCTCTCCTCAACCTCTCGGCCCTCTGCTCCTTCCCCTCTCAGCAGGGAAACTCTCCTCTTACTTCACGGAGAAGATCTAGGTCATCTGATGGAAATTCTCCTCCCTCCACTGCCACATTTTTCTAAAATAGCTTTACTAGGACTTTCCCTTTTCGCGTGCTCTTCTGGGCTCTGGCTTACCTAACTGCACCCTTTCTTGTTCTCTCGTTCATTCTTCTCCTGGGTTTGCTCTTGGTTTTCTGGAATTTACAGACATGTTGCTCTCTCCTCCTAGACCCATTAATTTGCCCTCTGCAATGTCTCCCATCTCCTGTGCATTTTCAGTGCTATGATTCCAGTCGAGGCCTTCATTACCTCTCATCTGCACTACTTCAATAGCATCCTAACCTGTCTTCTCTCCTTTAGGATTTTTGCACATTCCTGATACATGGGACAGTATGAACAAATGCATAGATTGGAGTAGCACAGGCCATGTTCAAGGTATGATGAGGATCCCAGTATGCTTGGAGTTTAGTGTCCAGACGAGGCAAAGATTGGAAAGCGACAGTGGTTGATTTGAACAAGCTGGTTTTCTGATGTAGAACCAGGTCTTTCAAGCTTTCACAACACTCCACCATTTGTAATAGTTTCATTAGGATCATAAAGCTGGAGTTTAAAGGGCCTTCAGAGGCCAACGCCATCAATTTCATAGGTGAGGAACCCAAGGTCCAGAGAGAGTCAAAGACTTGGTCCTGGTCACAGAAAAGATCATAGATGTAGAAGGGTCTCAGAGGACATCCAGTCTAATCCTTTTATTCTATAACTCAAGAAGAAACCAAGGCCTAGGGCAGTGAAGTGACTCAATAAAGTCCCAAAGGCAGTGAGCGTCATAAGCAGGATTTGAACACAAGTCCCCCACTCTGGAGCCAGAGCTCTTTCCACTGTCCCATGCTGCCTCCTATTATTTCTCCAATGACCTATGATGCTGCTTTATGAAACAAGAAAAGAGAATGTACCTGAATGATAGCATGGAAGAAACAAATGCCAAAAATGATTTTTCTCCATTTCCTTCCAAGTATATTTTCTTCAAAAAATGAAGGTGTCATTTCAGTGAATGCTCGTCTGATATTTGCACGGAGACCTTTTGGAGGTTCATTGGTGACCTGGTTAATTAGAGAACATACATTAGCAATTATTTTAGTTGTTGTTTAGTCATTTTTCAGCCGCGTCCAACTCTTCATGACCCCATTTGGGATTTTCTTGGCAAAGATACTGAAGCAGTTTGCCATTTCCTTCTCCAGCTCATTTTCCAGATGAGGAAAATGAGGCAAACAGGGTAAGTGACTTGCCTAGGGTCACCTAGCTAGTAAGTGGATTTGACCTCACGAAGATGAGTCTTCCTGGCTCTAAGCTCAGCACTCTATCCACTGCACCAATTAACTGCCTGTAATAGTATTTAGTTTGTTATTTAGCAATTACTTAGGTTATTTATAAATCCACTTACTGTCTGAAAGCCACTAGGCAAATGTAGAGAAGTGATGGTGACTGATCATTCATGCAGCTTCTGGGTCCTTGGCAAAGCAGGGTTTGGGATGGGGAAGTACTTGTGAGGCCCAGGGCTGAGGATAGTACATTTATACCCAAGAGACTTGGCAAGCAATTAAACACAAATTTTCCTACATGTGGGCCAAAGAGACTCAGGAGGTTCAGACTTTCTCCACTGGGATGGGCTTGTGATTTTCAGTAATTCTCCTACATGTAGAACTGCCTCATGCCTGCTTGTCTTGTCCTGTTGTAAAGCACATTTTCCTGTATTTGAGTTTAGAACTAGGAAATGAATGCATAATTTTGATGGATGTGACATACCTCTCTGTGTGTCTCTGAGAAATCAGCATCTCATAAGCTAACTTGACTGTTTATCATAGCTAGCATTTATATAGAATTTTAAAGTTTGCAAAGCACATTATATATATACATATATATGAGATAATGTATTATTCTCATTTTATAGAGGGGGAAACTGAGGCAAAGTGACTTGCCCAGGGTCACACAGCTAGTAAGTGTCTGAAGCAGGCCTGGAATTAAGGCTTCCCAACTCCCAGGTTCGGCAATCTATCTGCTATACTGCCCAGCTCTCCCCTAGTACCCTTTTCCTCTCCCTCTTCCAAGTTAATGTCCCATATGATAAAGCAATGACAATAGCAACATGATTCTGCCTTTTTATAAAACTGAATCAGAGGCAATATCTCAACCCACACTGTCACTAGAGGTACCCAGTTATCAAGCTTTCCCCTCATTCCCTTGGCATCTCTAGTTGTCTGTGCCTCATTGATTTTGGCATTCTGCAAGGTTATGCCAGTCTCTTGCTGCCATCAGCCTTTCCATTCTCCCCTTCTTTGCCTTCTTCACGGGGCCCTCTTTGAATTGAGTTCTGGCTTTGGAGGGGCTGGTCAGGTAGATG